GTAGTCCATCCACAACATACTTGGATCTTTTTTGTTGATGCGAAGACAATATCTCTATATTTCTTGATGTGCTCCATTGAATGACTCGTCATTAGATTGTCCGCACAAACTAAAGACAAAGATGACAGCAACCATGTAATTTCACCATACACCAAATTTCTGTAATTTAAATTATACTTACTTATGCATGTACAATTGGTGTGTCCTACACAGGTAGGAATAAATATGTATTTTAATAAATTATTATTATTAAACATGCTTACTAATCGCATATGTAATTTGTCGTATTGATGATGTAGTAAACTGGTGTCCCTCATGTACAAAAATAAGAATATTTATAACCTTTTAAACATGAACATATGTGTATGTGGATATGTATACGTATATATAACCTTGTATACATGCACATATATAATCTTGATATAATTGTGGGCAATAAATTGTGCTCGAGACGTCATCAGTAAATATTACGGTATAAAACTGCATGATTTCATCAAAATAAACCTTTTTATCGACAATGGAATGTATCTAAAGAGACAATAAAGTTCTATTTGTATCCATATACCTTTCTTCTGGGGGTTCGCTGCTGTCCCCTTCTCTTCTACTTGACTTGTAGTGAAATTTCAGCAAACCTGCGGTAGTGCTGAAGTTAAACAGCACTTGAAGCCACTCGAGTGCATGTGCCACATCAATCTTCGGGCTTTGGAGACATGATAATTCAACATCCTTAAAAACTCCCGTGTCGCCACATCAGAACGATGTATAAAATCCTAAACGAGCAGTATTGATGACCTAAAATGAAGATACAGCCGGCTTCCAAACTAGTAAACTAACTTATGAGTACGGGCTATGATGCAACCACAAATAGCGGTATTGCCCGACCTTATAAAATCATCCTAACGGTGCAGTAAAACAAATCTGTCTAGCTATGAAAGATATTCGTCTGCACAGAGTACCATTGGCTTCTGATGGAATCCTACAATTTTTCTGCTAAAGAACTGATGCAGTTGTACTACTCATCTTAAAATAACACACCATCTAACTGTAAACCAAGAAAAAGATTCCATGGTGTTATACAGAAGAAGTGAATTCAAGCTTTATTTTTTCACAGGTATTCTTGATCCATTAAATACAGACTTGGGGTTTCCTCCTAACTCAAAGAAAATGTTTCCATGTTTAATAATGTGCTACACTGACTGACTAGTGGGTAGACTGTTCCCACTAAAGGGCAGCAATCTCTGATGACATTGCATTATGAGCATTTCGGTGCACTAAGAGGTCAATCTTAAGGGCCAGCCGTTAATCAACTGAAGATGACTGGCATTAAAATCCCCACTGCTAACTAACTAAAGCCGTACGCAAATCCCGTCTAGGTCTACTCAAACTCTTACCTAAACGGTGTTCATCTACGTAATCAACTTAACTTCATGGTGAGTCTTAAGTATTAACGGACCTTATTTTAAAAACAAAGGATTCAGTGAAGAGAACCCTCTTTGCAATGATTTCATCTTCATAGATGTGCAATCGTGCATTTATGAATTGCGATGGACAATAACAATCAGTTTTATTGTGTATATTGAAGTTTGACAGTGATTGGAAGCGCCATAATATTGGTGTATAGGACTGCGAGCCAAAATTGATTATATATGCGAGTGGATAACTAAATAAAGAGGTTAACCTAAAGTGCAATATACAAGTGTGAAACAGATGATCGGAAAATAAAATACATTCGGAAGTGTGGATATGTGAATATACGATGCAAATGTACGATGAGTGAAATGTTGTCAAAGTTATAGACTAGATGGAATGTTAGAATATGATAACATAAAATGAAATGAAATAAAAAATAAAAAATGGAACACAGGATAAAGAAGGATAACAAGGTTATTATGTGAATTGCAAAGTGAAATCAAGATCATAGTAATGAAAGAAATCATACAAATTGTCTTTGTATACAAAGTTCTGGCCTTATATCATTAACTAATTGCGACTTGTTTTACTGTTCTATGGCTATAATCGTAAGTAGTCGAATTCTACTAACCATATGTTATAATTCGTTATTGTCTCTTTCACTATACGTACATATCTATAATGATGTACCATTATGCAGAGTTTTAAGTATTTTTTCTTATTTTCCCTTCGTTTAAATCAGTCAGTATCTGAAAAGTTGTCTATAACCATCTAGTTTCCTCATATTTCTCTCGAAAAAATGCTGTAACGGATGTGGCATACAAGAATACCACCTGAAAGTAGTCGTTAATACCATGAATTTCAGTAAGTTTAAAAATAAATTTAAAAACAGCCTGCGTGGCACATAGAAATGAGAATTAAAAAAAGAATTATTTCACCAGGGCCTTGAACTTTTAAAGATCGGAGAATTGTGACTGCTATTCAGTAGATAAGATGGTGTGGACGTATGAGAAACACCCTTATCTGTGAAACAGTGCTCTACTGCCAAGGCTCTTGAGTTCAAGTGACTTCCACGGTAAAATAATAATGGACAAAAACTATCTGAAAGCCTGAGCTTATATACAAACTCCCTGAATACAAGTATATGGTATCATTTTGCATCAGAACAACAGTATAGATGCTGTCAGACTTTCGCTTTTCTTCTACATATATCACACATTTCGGTCTCAGGGTTTAACTTTTTTCATAACCTGTACCCCCTGTTACCCAATATAAGGAGCTGGTAATTTTCAGGGACTGGCGGAAAAGAATGATAGGCCTCACTTTCACCTTCTATGATGAATGAAACTGAAAAAAACATACCAGTGATCTGAGACAGCCGTAACTTGCCAAATAATTCCCTTCATCTTGTACATTTACCCAGCACAGACAAGTCAGATGCAAAATTCAATTATTATTGAGCCAGATAACAAGAAGAGCTTCGACGGTCTTGGTAAGATTCACGATAATCTATACAACTACCTCTCAGAGTTTTAAATAGAGGTCAGTGATTAACAGCATGACTGTGTGCTCCTACTCATTGATGTTTTAATCTCCCCTTTATTTACTTTCTTATTGCAATTACGGAAGCCTTATTCTGCGCTAATAGTTTACATAATAAGCAGAATTTTCGAGGGTAATTTATTGCGTAATATTTTCCACTCAACCATGGTATTGACGCTAAACAGCAGTCTAGAACAACTAATTTGGCGTACGCTTCTGATAGACTATGCATTGTTATACAAAGTAGCAAAGCTCTGACTGCAGCTTGGTTCTAGAGTGTGATGCATATGGGACATCTTATTTAGAAGATGTGAATGTCACCATGAGTAATTTGATATACAGGGATGTGCAAAATACCTGAAGTACTCCTGTAGATCCCTACTGTCTAGAATCTGATATGGACTGTGTATGTTCATCTCTCTGGAGGGCTGAAAAGATGCTTTGGACCTGAAGACTGACGACAGTGCCGAAATGAGAAATGAAAATTAGTTACTCAGGCAGTGTAAAAGAAGAGGAAGTATGCACTTAACCCTAATTGGTATACTAAGAGATAGAAAGAAAAGGTTACTGGACAGGGAGTAATGGACATTGGTGTTAATACCGCGATATACAAAAGCAGCCAGTAAACTGTAGTGTGGCCATAGGCAGCATAGGAGTATGGAGTACTTCTGATGCTGTCAAGTATCCTTTTCTCCATCAAGACTTGCTTAGCATCCTCTTTAAGTAAATGCTCCCTGTCAATTTTTCTGGTATGATTGTGGTAAATTTGACTGGGATTAGAAAAATTGTTGATAGTAGTTTCAAGCAGCGCACGCCTCCTGAAATCGTGATCAGCTTCACTAGCCAGGGACGTCCGTTACTAGTCGGAGAGAAAAATTGAAGTAGATGAGGTCCATCTATCAAACCAGACTCATATCTGAAATACAGACTAAAGAGGAAATTGTAAGAGTTATACTTGGGTTAACTTAGATCTAAATTAGCCACTCTTACAAATACTTCTTCACCGCTTTATGACCTTAATTGTACTCTGCCTAATGTGCAAATACTAACGAACTGAACCAAAGGTAAAAAGACTTGAGATGACTAGTGTGACTGGAACAGAGTTATGTTTACACAAAAGCGATATGAGATTTGATAAAGAATAAGAGGGTATACACTTATCTGCAGTCAAGACGGTGGTAAGCTCGGAGAGTGTGCTGGATGAAAGCACAGCGAGAGAGCGAAACCGAAACCGTACAGGAGATTCACGAATCCAAAGAGGAAATGGGGGTAAAGATCAGGTGAGTTCGTTCAAACAAAAGTTCGAAGGTTCAATGTACACTACAAAATAACCACCGCTTCAGCTTGAAACTAGTGCTGCAAGTAGGGAAACTGATCTGAAACTTGAGGATTTTCGGGAACTTAGTTCTTGCAACCGAACCATCTGCAAAGGTGCAGAGGTTGGGTCTAGAAAATTTATATAAGCAACAGTGCATTCATGTACTTTGCTCACAAGGACATCAGTAGTTACTTAGTAAATAGCCCACTGCATCAACGGTAGCCGGGGAATAACTGATTAGAAGCAGTAGTAAATTATCGCCAGTTAACTGCAGCTTAATGAAGGCCAGTAATGCCGTTGCGACTGCAAATATTGTAAGTAATCCAGAAGCATTCCAAGTATTTTGATTGACATTTTATGTATATTATGTCTAACCTCCGAGAATGTGTACTAAATATTACAAGGACTATTTAAGCTGTTATCTAGGGAGAGAAGAGATTTGTTCCTACTGTTATGACGAGTGATCACATATTAGCATTCTGTATTTAATTTAACGAGCTGGAAGCCAACTTAGAGTGCTCCTGTTTGCCCTCTAAAACTTACATCTTTCTGCAGTATCATCTAAAATTTCTAAACACTACGTAACATCTATGCCCAAACCAAGTTCACTTTTAACAGTTTGAAAAAATTTGGGCATTGGGTATATGATGTTCATTATAATAAAGGTTTTCCTGTACTTCCCAATAAATGAAAAAACAAGAAAACCTTTAATATGTAACATCATCTGTACGTAGAAGTTCACTCCTCATATAATATTGTAAATCAATCGAATTCTCTGTCCAGGTATGTTCTTGTGGGATCTGCTGATTCACTCGAAGCAAGATTGAACTTGCACTGTATGACTAATCCAAAGCACTATTTCGGCCTTAGGCTGACTATCCTTATTATTCTGCGAAATTTAAACAACCAACTTACAACATTTTTATAACTGGATTACTAGCGGCTGGTGGAGATAAATAAAACGGAAGTCGTCCAAAAGCATTCGTCAGGAAGTTTTTTTCAAACAAACCAATTGTTTGTATCCGTCACGGATTTTCTTAGGTCAAGCCACTTTTCAAAAATGAGCACTACAGTACAACAAAACGTTTTTGTGGCAATGATTGATGCGATTAGCTGTCCTCTGAATATAACTTTATTCTTGATATGTGCACTGCTTGTCTATATGAGTCTTCGGCCACTGTTAAGAAAGAAAAAGACCAAGACTATCCAGGTCCCGAAAATGGGTAAACGTGATTTTACGTTAGAGGAGCTCCAGAAGTTTGACGGCAAGGGTGAGCACAAGCGAATACTGATAGCGGTTAATGGTAAAATATTCGATGTCACCAATAACGGACAGGAGTTCTACGGCAAAGGTAACTGAAGTATCATTATGATTGTATCAATAAAGGAGCACCCTATGCAGTTTTTGCTGGCAAAGATGCGTCCAGAGCACTGGCATGTTTTAATCTGGAGACTAAGAATGAGTATGATGACCTCTCAGATCTTACTCCCGATCAGATGAAGACCTTGAGAGAATGGGAACTTCAGTTTTCCGGTATGTTGAGCTTTTTGAATTAGAACCACTGTCTCAGTTGTCATTTTATGTATCTTTAAATCAGTAATATTTGTTTATACATTACCGTCTCTTATACCACACCCCTGAACAGGACATTTTTCGCCCGGTACATTTTGTATTTGTGTTATTGGTTATCCATGAAGACGTTATAGTATTTGTTTGAGACTGACTAAGTGTGTTCCTAATGTGGTACTGAGTGACTTACGTGAAGTAACTCAGTTAGCCGGAATCGCGTATATGCACTAATACTTATCTGTTTATCCTGACATTGGGACATTTACTTGACTTTAGTCATTACAGCATGTCAAGTATATTATTCAATTGTTAATAGCTGTGTAAGGTAGTTCAATGAACCCTCAAAGTGGTTCAACACGACACAAAAAACCTGTTTTAGGCAACTTGTAATGCAATAATGTGTAACTGTATTGTCGCTGTGGATATCCAGTTGTTTTGATGTGTTTTGTTACTGACTTAAACTTTACACTAGAAAAGATAATAGTGATCCAGTACTCAGTTCATTGCACGATTTTAAGAGATGAGTTACGCTGTTTTATAAACATTGTTCATTGGTGCAACTATATGGCCGAATGTGACTGAGCGAATATTCTAGCAAGATTAGAAAGTGAATAAATATTAGTAAGTAGCAAAGTCAAGGTTCACACTAGTCAGAAGTAACTTAAATAATGATAGGAGTATGTAAGTAATTGAGACTTCTTAATGAACTACCCAATGGCTAAATGAATTAAGATTTTCGGAAAACTCTTCACGGACGCTGTCAATTTGAGGGAGGGGAAATCAATCAACGAGGTTGTGGAGTTACACCGATTGAGATGGTTAAGACGTGTTGCGCATGCCTAGCCATCACCTACCTCGACAGGCAGTGTTAGCCGGCATAAGAACAGGTTAGGAAAGAGCTAGTGGTGGTCAAACCAAAACGTGGCATCATTCAATGTAATCCACAACAACTGGTTTAAGCCACGTAGGAAGGTGTGAACTTCCTAGTTGGCGTCCTCGGGATGGTGAAAACCACTGGCTGGAGACAATTAGTGGGATGGCTCAAAATCGTTCTCAATGGCGCAAATGCACTCACTCTTTATGATTTGTTGTCATATCGAATAAAACTCTTCTGTTCTTATATATTGGCATTCTTTTTGCCCTACACTTCTGTTTATTATATTCCCTTTGAATCTGTCTTTACTCTCTCCTCTTGCTTCGTGTGCTTCATGAAGGGAGTGTAGCGACTCGAAATGCTGCACATCTGTGCAAAGTTCTGTATTACAAAACCAGATGGACAAAGACATGTAGAGCAGGATAGCGTAGTGAACAGTTATGACGATGTTTAGGATTTCGATAATGGAGAGTGAAAATATTTGAGTCATTATGTGAAACTTTCAGTCAACTCACTGAAGGATTTACACCACTGATTCTTAGAGCTTCTAAAAATAAGTACTCACTGTACACCCTTTTCCATGGCTCCAACCAGCTGTTGATATATTCTGTTGGTATCACGCATGGGCCTATCTACTCTAATCCTACTTTGGCTAAAGAAGGCAGTGCTGAGGCATGTAGAACATATCACTCGGTCAGTGAAGATTCCCAACTTCATTTATTAATGGATATATCTAATAATGTAATCTTGACACTACTTTCCATTTCCCTTGGTAGACATTGTTAAGGTCTTGTAGCTTTTTTATATCTACTTTCAACGGCTGTGTAGCGGCTGTCAGCAGGACAGGGTAAATCATTATACTTGCCATTTGATGGGTAGCCGATGTCTAAATTGATATGTGCTGGAGAATGTTAATTTTCCGTCAGTAAGCAGTCCGTTAGTGCCGGTGAAGGTATAGTTCATTTGTCTAGGCGCCCAAATTCCATCCACGAGGTTACGGATTGAAATCCCGCACCAATTACCGAGATTGGGATTGCCAAGTAGTGTTGGTGCTGCCTATTTCCGACTGCGTAGAAATGCAAGAAGTTCTTGAGTAACGTCCCATTTTATCTTCATAGAATCACTGCTGAGAATAGGAAAATCACTAGTGGTTAACACATTCGACTACTTCTCGTTATCCATAAAGTAGAAGTCAGTGCAGACTACTAATGTAGCACCATGTTGGATCTGACAGGAGTGAACACCTTAATAAGCATATTCAAATATTTCCTCATGAAGTTCACAAAACTTCATGTTGTTAACCTTTATCCTAAAGGTCTATATAATTAGTGACCACATTATGGAAGGTCAGTTCATCCTTGAAGTAAATGAAAAGGACATCAAATTAGTGACGATGGTCCTATCTTTTCGGAGTAGTTGTAAATCCAAAGGAACAGATACCTGAGAAAATTAACACGAGATCTTTCTGTAGGTTTTTGATTTGGTTCAAACCCTGTTAATTGGTACTCAGAGAATTCATCATCAATAGAAAAACTCCTTTCGTCAAATGAAGGGTAGTTTACAAAAGTGTTTTTCGACTCTGGTAAAGGTAGCGTTATTTGTAGTATGTTGGCAATCCTGAGAAAAGAAATTGCTGCTACATCTTGCAATATATTTACTTTCCCAAAAACTATTACCTAATCATACATTATCATCATAGTATTATTACCTAGTGGTTAAAGTTATCACACCTCAAATATGCGAATTTAGTAAAAGGTAACAGGAAGGAAGACAAAACTGCAGAAGTAAAGTTTTCAGTGAACATCTTTTAACAAAGAAAAAATGTAGAAGACGAATGGAAAATGTGGAATCACGATTAGATTAAATGTAAACTGTCGATTAATCTGCACTACTTCATCTGCACTTCATATCCTTCAAATCTGGGTTGTAGTTATCTCGTAGACTTCGGGATACTCTTCTCGTCAAACTGTCGCTTAATTGCATATTGGAATATTAGTTGACTAAGACGATGTTAACTTTTCTTGTCCCAACAACATTCAAATAGACTTTATCAAAACTCGTTTCGTTTCTGCGTTTGTTTGTACTTGTAGGATTTCTTTGTGATGAGAAACTAAATAATTACAAGGTGTCGTTTTGTGTACCCGGATCTTTTCTGCAATATCTGAGATTTTATTGAGATATCTTCTGCAGACGGAAATATGTGAAGTAGAATCCAAAGTTTGAAATAGCTGGTAAACTGTGAAATGCAAAAGCCACAGCTCCACTGGAGGGGGAATGCATTTTATGAACGATGTGATACTATCCAGATTCATAAAACATCAGTTTCAATGCATTTCTCATCATAATGTTTTCCGTCCTGTTGTCTATTTTAATGACTCATTTGCGCTAGTTCGTAGTTTGGTAAATGAAATTAATGGCGTACTGAAAATATTTCTGCACAATTATTGCCTCGATAATTATTATGTATGGAGGTCAGGCAATGTCCATTACTGTTCAGTGTCATTTTTCAGGAAAACAAATATATAGCATAATTTTCTTATAATTTAGAGCGTTATGACCATATTGGACGACTTTTAAAACCTGGAGAACCACATCGAGTTTATGAGATTAATGATGGAGAAGATGAAGTTGGCGGCACAAATCATGTTGTTCAACGTAGTTGCAAGGAGAAAGTAACCTGATAAACGTTACACTGACTTGTTTCAAGTATTTTGTGTATTTATGTAAGCATACCATTGCAATCTTTTTTTTATTTTAAATGGACGCTTATTACCAACCGTCCATATTTGTGTTCCTAAACATAATGATTTCAGTCTTTTGGTTTTCGATTTGTGCAATATTAATGCTACTAAGTAATGAATTCTTGTACACAAATCTGTATATGCTGATGTGAATCTCTTTGAAATTTCGGCTATTTAGTGGTTTTTATTTCTGGACATTTGTTTGCTTTCATTACTACAAATGATTTGTAGAACGTTTATTTCCTACCAGGTTGCTAATATCTGTTCACATTGTAAATATTTGTAATGTTTTTAAAAAAATTCTTGATCCAGTTTATTTTCTTTTTTTTGATATTTGTATTTTGGCCACGAATCATTTTTTGTCTAACGCTAAATGGCTAAAATCTTTCTGTTGGCATGTAAACATGCCTGTGACAGGTAATTGTTGATAATGTGCACTAGATTAGTAGTAGGAATGTACTCTGCAGTTAAGACAGAAGGAATGTGGAATGTCATAAAAAATCTCATCAGTTAAAGCTGTTACAATCAAAACAGAACACTCAATTTTATTTAGGTATTCCAGAAAACCCTGCATTTTGTCAGCGTCTCCGTCTTACAGAACTATCTTCTATGAGATTCTTCCAGGTACCATATCTCTTCTGGATCGGACGCAGCAAAATAGTTGCCTACATCAGTAATTCTCTAATAAAACTTAATAAAAACTATAACACTCGACGCCATCGGATATTATTGGTTGTCATCATACTGAGTAATAATTCTTTCTAAGCTCTCACTAGTCTTCACTGATTCTAGTACGGGGCCTTAGTTTGCAGGAATTATTAAATGCTGATAATACATTTTGAAAATCAAAATAAATTCTCGTCCGTTTCTAAAATTATGCGAGTTGTATTATGCAGTCTAAAAGGAACACCTTTTTCTGTTTAACACCTTTCTCTATGGTTTGAATACACAGATATTATGTTTCTCTGTATTTCAGATGTTGGTTTCACCTTCTATGTAGGTTTCGTTGATCTCAACTATAAGTTGGAAATTCATCGTTTTTGATATCAAATAGTCACGTGTGATACTTGCTGTCTATTTTACTAGGGTGTGACTTAATAGTTTTAAAAACCCAATGTTTAGTCAATGCCACATGTCCGGTTTTATGTTTTCCCCAAATGAGACAATCTGGTTTTATCGACCTCTGTCGAATCGCTTCACGTTTAGGACAGTATTTTTTCTAACTTCACTTAGCTTGAACATCAGACAGTTCGCTTATATGTATCACATAAATGAGTCTTGAGTGTTGCGTTTTTCAGGTATTCAGTAATAATATATTCATAAAGTCACATTGTATGTTTTCGATCCTCACGTTAAACTGATATCATGAAACCTCACATGGAAAATAAATTAAGAAGATTGGTCAGCAAATAAGTAATTTTTTCTTAAGCATACACCGAATAAACAGAACATTACTAGATATGGGAAATAAATTTTCATTAATGTAGGAGATATGCAAATGTTTTTGCTGCGAATATCACTCAAAAAAGAAATTAGAATCATCCCCTTAATTGGAGATGTAACAAAAAGCATACAAATAGTTAATAGAGATGTTTTAACTAGACGAATTGACAGGTGGTTGAAGAAGAGAGTCATGATGACAAAACTAACTTAAGATTATTTTCCGTACAAAGTTTGCGATTTTTCATGAAAAGCAACCTTTTCTTCTTTACAAGAAAGATGTCAGCGAATTCCCTCAGTGACTTCATTTTATACATTAATCTGGAGGGAATTTCCGTGGATCTTGGATGACTTGAAAGAGAAAAAACCTCAGGATTACAACTACTAATTAACCTGTCAGTTTTTTTCTAGATTCTACATTCGAACTGCTTTATTTCATCTAGAAAGTTGTGTAATCTCTGGCAAATGATGTGTTAACTTTAATGATTAAATATGACTTGGACCAACGTAGACTTTAAGCACCACTAACTACCAATGAAGTTCCACCGCACTAATGACCTTGAGACGCTAACTGGCAAATGCTGTCATCAATAAAATATACTCATCGAAGTGTTATGCCATTAAGTAGGATATCTCAAAAGTTGCAGCTTAGGTTTGGGAAGGAATAATTTACCCTTTAGGCCAAAGACAAGTTAGGGTTAGGTCAACTTAATAGAGGCGACATTAGAGTTGGTTCGAGTTAGATTATAGTTAGTTTATAGATATGTTCACGTTAGAGCTGCAGGAAAGATTAAGATTATTGTTAGGCTTAGAAGACCTAAATAGAATATGGTTAAATTAATCTGTTGGTATTAGAATAGAACTTGTGCACTGTGGCAGAGTATAATTCCATCGTGGGTGGCGCTTAAAGTTTAACTTTGCCATGACTTGTTATATGTATCTAGGCAAATAGTTTTTTGACGAGTCAATGAAAAAGTTATCAGGATTTATGAAGTCTTATGTAATGAGATACAACAAAGTACAAGTACCACTGTAACTAGTTTGCAAATATAAATAACGTTTTGAAAGGGAGAGAACCAGTTTTTGTGGTAATTTCATTCAAAATACTACATAAGCGAATTGGATTGACTACAGACATTCATATCACATTATATGTTATTTCTGCTTATTTCTCAGTTCATAAGTCAGTTTGACTAACTGTTCTACTAATCAGATTTTCAATTTGCAAATGTGATTAGCATGTTGCAATGTAAACAGTTCGAGGGATAACATTTCACTGGGGTTTCCTATGGAAATCTTATTATGCAGGTCACCGTATGCTATCTGCTTGATACCATAAATGGTGATTAAGAAAGCAAGCATATTTGCATAAAGCTATACACTACTGATTGATTAAGATGAGTATTTGTATACCACTCATATCTACTAGTAATGCTTGCTAGTCAGCTCGAAGTGATCTAAACATGATTTGAACTGATTGGATTCTCTGAGATGAGCCAAACTGGGTGTATACCACTGATGAGCTTGGCCCCAAATGAGCGGAACGGTCGTCTGGTGTTTAGACCACCTCGTTCTGGCTAGCAAGCACTACTGTTTGATGTGAGTGGTATACAGCTACTCATCTCAATCAGTCAGTAGTATATAGTTTTTATACTAACTGTTCCATCTTCAGCACACTTGTGTTCTTTATGTCATTAAAAAAGTTATCTAGAAATTATCCAGGGAAACACATTATCATATGATGCTAATACGAATTTAAGTGAAAATGCCATCAGTTTGACGGGACTACTGCAATTATTCAAATGAACATCCGGGAACTCATTGTCCTACGGAGAGTTAGTCGCCGTATTAAATGTGACTCGATCTGATGAATGTAACTCTACTGAATACTTCCTTCTCGTACTAGTCTTTATTAGAGCAGGTTTGTTTTGGACTACTTACTGAAATATTGGTATGGAACTTTGTGGGCTCTGCATACTGTAATCGTCAAAAATGACCCATTTTTCCTTTTGATATGCACCTAAAAATATGGCTGTAAATTCTCATGGCTAGTTTCATTACTTCCACATTGTTTGTCAGCACTAGTGTATTTTTTTATTCTGTCATGCTTTTTAACATCATATGTTCACTAATTGAATAACTCTTCATATATAACTCTCTTATATTCACATACATTTCTTCATAATAGATAATGAGTTTTATAGAAAATGTTTTGAGTTCATTTTTTCTGTTTCATTGTGTATAGTATGCATTGTAGCCAGACTAACTAGTGTATTCATACCAAACCTGAAGGATTTCTATGAAACTGAGATAATTCATTATTCTAATAATTGTGTTCTTCAATGAATGAATGAATTGAAAAAATAATAATAAAACGAGACTGCTTGTAATGACGTCTTGTTATTTGATGTTAATACCTATATCAAAATAATGGTAAACTGAAAATCCATAATATCAAAGTTTACATATGCTAAATCTAATCAACATTCCAATGTGTGAACACGTTTTTGTCGTATAGTATTTGAAAAGATAATGATTATGTGTTAGGCTAGGCATGTGTACGCCTTAGTTACTGTACAGACGAGAAATCTGTCATGGAATAAAGCTTAGGTAGAATAAACACTGTAAAATACTTACGGATTCTAAAGGATATGGACTTTGCGGGTGATTTATGCGTAATGTCACAAAAACTCGAAGATCTTTAGGCGAAAAGTTGGCTGAAGAGGCAGACATGATTTCAATTGAACATATGGAAGTCAGAGGTGATAAAGGTACCCTGTCACTGCCAACAACAAGCATTAATCACTATCAGCAGAAGCAATTTGAAAGGTGTCACCTCTTTGGCGGCATTATTTCAACTAAAGGCTCGGTTGAGAATGTTGAAGGCAGGATTCTTCGTTACTGTGAAATCAATATGGAAATCTGCTTTAGTCTACATAAAGAACTTCGATATGGCTCATAGACTTGGCACAGGAGTCACAAAAAGTATTTTCAACAGGCTTCAGACTTTCACTAACAGCTATCCTCGTTCCATACTAAGGATTAGATGGCCAGAAAAGATACGCGACGCGGAACTGTGGGAACGAACCAACCAAAGTCCTGTTGCCCAACAAATATCCCGAAGAGAATCGGGATGGACCAGACACACGCTGAGAAGGTCACTGGACGACATAGTACGCCAGGCTATCGATTGGAATCTGAATGGAAAACGGCGAGTTGGGCGTCCAAGGATGACAATGAGTTGATCGTGGCAGGAGTAGATGAGAGCTTATAGACAATAGTGAAGCCATTTAAAGAAGACCCCAGAGAGCAGAATGAAGTGGAGGTGTGCTGTTGAAGCCCTATGTTCCATTTGGAACTCAAGGTAATAATAACAGAAATAATTATAGTAGTATTGGAACAAGTAAAAGAGAATTCAGTCATAGCTTTACACTTCACATTATCATATCACGAGACCGTTTTTGATGACATTGAAATTATTGAGAAGTAATTAAGGATATAAAATCTCTTCACATAAAAAGGAAGTAGAAATGAAATGCCTGAATAGAATTGAGGGGATTAAGCGCAGCTTGACCTAGTTTCAATCCACCCACATGAACTTATTTTGTTTAAATTGCTTGCGACAAGAATTACAATCAATAACACATTCAAGTTTACCATTCATTAGCTTATCAAAACTAGCATACTTGCTTGCATGTATTAGTCATCTCCTCAACAGTTTAACATTACAGAAGTATTCGCGCGAAAGGACTTTGATTGGACTGCCATACATAAACTTTGATTTTGTAAACGTTAGTTTATCATTACTTTGACTAAGCTATTACTTTTGTTTTTACCAGTTGATCACGGTGCGTAGTGCCGATGATTCCCAAACTA